CCGAAGATTCGGTGAGGCGTTCGCTTGTGCCGCTTTTTTTTGCGTCGCTTGTGCCGCTTTTTTTTTGTGTCGCTTGCGCCGCTTTTTTTTTGGTATCGGCATTTTTCCTGTAAATTACCGTATAAAATGGTGTTTTGACGTGTTGTTTTTTTGACGTCGCTTGTGCCGCTTTTTTCTTGGCGTCGGGTTTTGACCTGTAAATTTGCGTACAAAGTGGCGCTTTTGCGCGTGTTGTTTTTGATGTCGTTTGTGCGGCTTTGTAGTGGTATCGGTATTTTACGTGTAAATTGCCGTATAAAAGTGGCGCTTGTGTGCTTGCACGTCGACTGTGTTGCTCTCCCTCTACGCGATCCTTATGCTCTGCGCAGTGTCTCGTTGCGGTAGATACTCGGAGGTATTGACGAGAGACTTCCAGAACATCAAACCAAATCTTGAGACAACTCCGCTGGAAGCCTTACCGAGTTGTGCCAGGACAAAATCAGATGTGCTCACTGCGCTGCATTGCCGCAAGTTTGTGTTGCGAATAGCACCAGAGTGCCTAACAATAGATCTGTAGGAGATTTACGCTTTTAGAGTTTTTGTAGTGTTCAGGCTGTCAAGAGTAGGGATGGAGAAAAATCTTGAGATTTTGAGTGAGGCAGTTTTGTAACTGATCATGAAAGAGCAGTGCGTGTAAGTGCTCTACAGCAAGAAAGATGATGAGGTTGCTGTGCGTATGCATAGGAACATGGGTAACTGATCATGAAAGAACAAGAAAGATGAAGGTTGCTGTGCCTGTATTAACTCACCCCACCCCACCCCACCCCACTGACCTCTGCTCAACAGCAAGAAAGAGCTGAGGTTGCTGTCTCTGCTCTGTGTGCATAGGAACATGAACGTTATCATCCCACCCCACCCCACCCCAGTGCCTCCAGCTGATGAGGTTGCTGTGCCTGTACATGGAATGAGGTAACATCATGAACTATGTTGATCGTTATCATCCCACACCCCACCTGATCCAGTGCCTCTACAGTGGAAGCATAGGAACATGAACCTTATTAACGGTAACTGATCATGAAAGAGCTAACAGCAGGTTTTTTTGCAAGTGCTGTGCGAGCGTGTGGTGGAAATGTTATCATCCCACCCCACCCCACCCCACCCCACTGGAACATGAATGAGACATGTAGTGTTGATCGTTTTTTTGCATTTCGTGGTAGCGTAATTTCGTGGAAATTTACAGGTAATCAGAGGTTTTTCGTCGCAAGTGATGTCGAAAATGTGTGGGGGTCATTTTCGGCGTAAGTGACCTTAAAAATTTCGTCCTAAGTGAACGTGGGACCGAAGATTCTTGTCCGTTGCTGCTTGGAAAAAATTCACTGCGGCGACACCGTGAGGGAGACACGTCAGAGGGATGTGCTATAGATTTCGTCATGTGTTTGTAGTCTGTTGTGTTAACACTGTAGGAGCTGTTGAAGTTTCAATTTAGGAATATGAGGATCGTATCAGTACACGGTAGATGGATGGATTCGGATGGATGGATGGATGGATAGATAGATAGATAGAAAGAAAGGTAGACAGGTAGACAGATAGACACCACTGCGCTACACTACACTATCTTCCACTACACTTCACTACATTACACTACACTACACTCCACTAGGCTACAACTACAACTGCAACTACACAACTACACTCCACTACACTACACTACACTGCACTCAATTACACTCAATTGCACTACATTACATTACACTACACTACACTCCACTACACGACATTACACTACACTACACTACTCCCACTACACTTCACTACATTAGACTACACTACACTCCACAACACTACAACGACAACTGCACAACTACACTCCACTACACTCCACTACACACCACTACACTACATTACACTCCAGTACACTCCACTGCACTAAATTCCACTACACTACACTACATGACACTACACTCCACTACACTACATTACACTACACTACACTACCTTCCACTACACTTCACTACATTACACTACACTACACTCAACTACACTACAACTACAACTACAACTACACTCCACTACACTAATTTACACTACACTAAATTACACTACACTACATTACACTGCACTACACTACACTCCACTACACTACACTACACTACAGTACACTACACTACATTAGACTGAATGACACTGCACCATAGCTAGACAGGTAGACAGATAGACAGACAGACAAACAGATAGATAGATAGATAGATAGGTAGGTAGATAGATAGATCGATAGATAAGTAGATAGATAGATAGATAGATAGACAGATAGACAGCTAGACAGCTAGACAGATAGATAGGTACATAGACAGATAGATAGACAGACAGATAGATAAATAGATAGATACATAGATAGATAGATAGATAGATTGGTAGGTTGGTAGGTAGGTAGATAGTCAGAGAAAGAGAGAGAAAAAGAGGAGACCTCAAGCACCTTTCAGTCCATCACTGGCTTCGCTCTGCCATCCCTGATTCACACCAACCAACCTCTCCTACAGGTTTCCTATTTTTGAAACTTCCGCCACCGCCTTGTGCGGTACTACTGATAACAGTTCTGAAACTTAAAGAATGCACCCCCCCGTGGGGCTCTGACCTGGTTGAATCTTGGTGGTAAAGATTGTTGGACCTGGTGCCCCAAAACCCTTGTTAGAATTACATGACATACGCCTACTACTAATTTAACAGTTTTTTGCTTATTTGTTGGTATCAGGCGTTTGTGTCCACAGATGGATTTTTTTTTTCCCCGGGAAGTTGTGCCAAGACACACTATGTCGCACCCTATCTCGAGCTGCAAAAAGAGAAGAAAATGGCAGAGAAGACAGCCAACAGCCAGGCCTGGAGACCATGCATATCCTCTCTTTACAAGTCGCCAGATGTCGCCAGCTTTTCAAGTTGATGATGTCCTGTCGCATCCTTGCAGCGCAAGTCTTGTGCAGGAATTGATGCTGGCCAAGCAGGCTGAGGAAGAGTCCAGCAGGGCCACAAAAGAGGACGCCTTTTCCCGTTGTGTCTGGAATCTATCTATCTTCACAAGGTGAATCATTCCTTTGGTTATCGAAACAATTCAGCTGAAACTTTGCATGAAACCATATGCCTCATGTTCTTGAAAGATTGCTGTTCGCACAAAGATGGGATCTTGAATAGTTCGAGGTTTCATGGTTTCTACGGGTGCATACTACCATTTGTATTGTTTGGACATCAGCATCAAAGTACTGCAGATTTGTTGTTCAGTGAGCTGCCAATCTTGTCCAAAGCACCTTCATTTGATGTGACCTGCTGAAGAAAAGACCCACGGGTTTGCATGACTCTTGCAAGTTCAAGACCAGCACGTGCGAAACCTTAGAGCAAGATGTCATGCAGGTGTTCGGACTGCAGAGCTCCAGCTCGGTCATGCGATCAGATAAAGTAGCCTTCCTGAAATTATCCGCTGCAGCAACAACAGTTGCAAACAAGGTTAAAGATTGCAACAACCATTTAACTGGGTCACCCCTTCCTAATTCAGCATTGCACCCACTACTGTCTTCAATGGGAACAGAGGAACAGCCTGAGAGGCTGGCATAGGCTGGCTGCATGCGGTTGAGCTTAGCCAATTCCAGGAGGACGATCATCCAAGCGCTGAAGACCCTTCGGTGAAGGCAATGAAGGACCTGGCTGCGACAGAGCGCAATGGCCACTGCAACGGCCACTGCAAAAACAGATACAGAACGTGTTTCAAACGTTGTGCTCTGGCCACTCTTGTGCATGTCTTGCTCTTGTGGTGCCCAGTGTTGTGCTGAGTTTCATAATTTCACCGTTTCGTGCTTTTACCTTCCCCCAGGCAGAGCATGAAGAGATTCACTGTTTCTTTGCTGCGAGTCCTGCAAGCGTGAGCCAATTCTTGCACCTTTCTTGGGGGGTTGCTTCGCTGCTACCGCTGATGTGTGGTGCCATGCTGCTGCCGCTGCCGGAAGCAGCGCTGTGATTGCCGTAATCGGCCTTGACGCTTGCAATGGCTTGACGAACTTTAGCTGGCAGAACATTTCATACTAGTTTGGGACCAACTACCTCTGCAATGTAGGTTTCAGCTGGTAGATTTTGCTGCTTCATATTCTCTTTGCAGCTCCCTTGTAAGCCCACATGTCTAAAGTTCATCTGTTCGCAAGAAATCACACCTGTGGGATAGAGATACAACCTTGGACACCGACTACAACAGGGCAGGGCCCCTAAATAGTGGAGCAAATGCTCACATGATTCTCTCCACCCCATCTTGCTAGGGTCATACTGAAGAATGGAACGATTTTTCTCGGAGCAGATTATTTTCAGGGAAGAACAGATCAGTCGGTTTTTCTCAGCCGGGACAAACATCAGCTCTGCACTCCCGACCCTTTGCTCCTCCAACCCAAAAGATCCATTCCTTTACTAGGCACCGTGTAAAACCCAACACCTCAACAATTTTTGAAGCGGGTGGCCCACGAACCATCATGCACCCAGCTACTGAATAGTGCAATTGAGCTTCAACAGGAACAAACAAAGAAAAAAAGGAAATAAGGAAGGAGAGAGAAAAGTGATAGAATGAGAAAGAACGGAAGGAATAAGGAAAGGAAGGAAGAAGGAGAATATAGGAAAGAAAGCAGAAATTGAAGCCTGACTTAGGCTTGGACCGTTGTGGCGTGAGATGGAAAAGTGACGCTTGCGAGCGTATCTGACTTGGTGAGGGATCTTTGACCCTAACAACAACATATCATCCTGATATATTCAACTCCAACCACACATCCGCTTCCGCATGTGTATATATATGTGTGTGTGTGCATTTAGCCTCTTCAGCGCAGTGTAGGGCAAGGTGGCCAGAGGTTGTCACCTCTCAGAAATGTGTCGGTGCCTGGCCGGACTCGGCCTGTGCCAAGCTGGCTCATGGATTCACACGACCCACGGTAAAATTAATCTTTACTAATTCCTGATTTTTTAGATATTCCATGATATTCAGATATTCCTTTATTGATTCTCTGCAACTGTTTCAGGGGGTGCACTAAGCAGCCTCCATTACTAGCCTAGCCTTTCAAGTGAGAGGAGTGTCAATCCGGTGAGAAAGGAGGAAGCTGGATGAAATCGCAGTTGGCACCTTGGCAGTTGGCAGCGTCAAGCTGAGCTGAGCTGAGCTGGATGTGTCATAATATATGTTACAATGTCCCTGGTATTGTCTCAGGAAGATGGTACTTCATACAGATTGATTTGTACCCAATAGCGGGAATCATACAGAAAGGGCTACACGTTTGTGGTGGTCTGGGTCCTGTTGCTGCCACATAAACCATGGATGATGATGGGGTGTCATTTTGGTGTGGCCAGCGCCCAGTTTGTTGTGTGGAGGCCTCCCGAAACGAACTGTGGGGCCATGGATGCGATTTGGGCTAGGTATGCCACGAATTCCGAGGCTACCATTGATGGCTGGCAGTAAAGCTCTATTTGCCTATGCTGATACATGGATCACGAATTGCAAGACTGTTGCACCTTCCATGTGAACCAATGTAATGACCTCGTCATCTCAGGTATTAGTGTTTGTGGGATTCTTATCTAATTTTGTCTTTGACATTCCTTTACCTATGATAGCATCCACAACACGTTTCATGAAATGATCCTTGTGCGCCTTCGTTAGGACTCAATTGTGCCAAAAAAAGGCAAGAGGAAGGCACAGAAGTTGGGGAGAGGGCGAAAAATCCCCCAAAAAAAGACCAGGAAAACAGAACACTTCAGGAGAGGGCGAACAATCTTGGCCTGGCATGTTGTAGGAAGTCTAGTCAGTTTCATCAGTGAACTAGCCTCAGGATTAAGGACGGACTGCTTGTTGCTTCGTTAGGGCAAAGACAGACAGCCTTTTGATGTTACGATTTGGGTCTCATCAGCTTTTGTTCAAAGATTGGGAGATTCCCACTTGTACTTGAAAGTAAGCATCAATAGGTTCAATGCCGTCAGAACTGTCACATGTGGCCTCTCATGTTTGTGATCGGAATTATCAACTGTTTGGTTTTCCTGTTTGGGTCTGATCTAAGTTCTTGCTTGTTTTCTTTCCTTCCCTTCAGTTTCCATGCAATGCTTATGGGTGCAGAATTTGGTCTGCAGTTTGCTCTTGACAATACAGCTCGACCTGTCCAGAACAGAAAGAAGGAGATGCTGAAGTGGTTAGATGCCAGGAACTCAGGTGCTCCAGGAGCACAGTCCTGTAGCACTATAGTATCATATCCGGCAAGTCCTTTGCTCCTGTCATACTCCGGGTTTCTATTCGATTGCTGCCACACGAAGAAGAACCAGAGCCAAAGAAGGAACCCCCAACGACTATATACCGCTGCAGTTTCCACAGCCCAGATTCACTGATGCAGAACTTTGAGCAGCCAGCGCAGGAACCAACCGCAGTAGCCAATGCAATCTGCCAGGCCTACTGCAAAAAACAGAAGACCAGTGACGAGAGCTTCGGATGTGTTGGCCTTTGGACCAAGATCACTGGTGAAGTGCAGGAGGTGGGCAATGCCTGTGGAGCTCCTGCAAGCTGATTGCATTCAACTTCGCAGGGGCTGAAAGACCTACATATCACATATCAATATATTGAAATTATATCGAAAATAGTCAATGCTTGAAGGTTGGAACTGCCCACCCAAAAAAATGTCTTTGCCAGGGAAGCGGAAGTGACTCTCACAGCATTTTATTTGCGTTCGTGAAGCTGAAGTGAAGAGACATTGAATTTGTAAGATACATGGGTTACGTAAAGCTGTTTGGCGCTTGGCCACAGATGTATCCAAACAAACCCAAGAGTTTTCATTTGATTCATGTGCTTGCTCGTGTAGAATGTCAGATCCGTCCTGTTCGACTTGCCTTCGTTTCTTGGAGATCTCAGGTTGCAACTTTGATTTGTGGATGAAGAAAAGAGCCTCCTATGACTGGTCCACAGGCGCGGGGTGAGGAGACTGTCTGATTTTCAATTACTTAGACTTAGTATACCCCTGCCTATTTCCTCTATAAAGTGCGGTTATCAAGACCCAGAGCTCTTTAGATTTTAGCTTTTATGGAGGCATTTCTTTAGATTTTGATTTTATGGAGGCATTTTCCTCTAAAAGGGGGTTTCAATCTCTGGGTCTGGAAGTGATGCATAGTTTTTTGCTGTGCCCAAAAACCGGAAGGGGACCTTGGACCTGTGGAACCTGCTGTTGGGTTGCAAAGCTGGGTTAATTAAATGCATCTTGAAAAGAAGAGCTTTGCCGGACGTTGAGGGCACAGGTTTCCTTTTAGCTTTAAACAGTTGGATTCGCTTGAAAGCCTGGGTGCCCCCTTTTTCCCTTGTGGGCCGTCTGACGCAGACTGCCCGTGGAACCGCTGGAGAATTTGCGAGGACGGAAATCAGACGTGCCTTGTTACCGACCTGGGGCTTGGAAGGGCTTGCCATGGCTTACAACCAGTTCAAATTTTGTACCGTAAGGGGAAACGCACCTAGGAAGAGTGCTTGACAATCAGTGTGCAAAGGTCAGTTGCATTCACTGGCCCCAGAAGGGTTGTTTAGTAAGGACACCCAGCAAGCTTCTTGCCTCCTCCCTAGAAGCTTTGCTGTGTATAGACCCTAGTTTGAGCTCCATTTGTTCATATGAGAGAAGTAGTTGGAACCCGCGAAAGATATTTACAGATGAGGTAAGAACATGCATGTATGCCGGATGGATAAGGATATACATTTGTGGATGGAAATTATTTCACAAAATATGTCTGTGAGGAAAAGATAAGGTGCACAAAAGACATGACTGCGCAACACCAATATCGGTCTGGGTCAATTGAGTGTGTGGTCAATCTATGTTTGCTTCCAGGTGGTTTTGGACCCAAGAACCCCATATCATCACTCAGATCAAGTCCATGACAGCAATGCTTTTGCAGGTGTTCAGGCACAAAGCTGACTTGGGCCACTTGTTATGCGAAAATGCTGAAGTGAGAGCTGCTTTCTCTTGTCTGGAGCTGCTCCTTTGGCACGCGCCGCAGCATAGTGCTTTCAGCTGCAGACCTGTCGCGCGTTGTCCGATTGTTCGGGAGCAAAAATGTCCAAAATGCTGGGTGGATTTGCAGTCATTTTTCTCCCCCACATAAAATTTGTGTGTTCGACTAACTTTAATGATGCATAAATACTTGGTGACACCAAGTTTTTTCCGGCCGCATTCAGATTCCTGTCAACAGAAGGCATCCTTTTGTCCACCGAGGTGGAAATGGTACGATTCACCTGGCTGACTGGCGATGTGCTGGGCAATGGGAAATTACAGGCAAAGAACCGAAGTAAAGTTCGGGGAATCATGGGAAGTTCCTTCGGAAGGGACATTTCATCATTCTCAAATTGGTCTGCAAAATGTTTCCTCCGTGGAGGATGTCACTACCTATCCAGTTTTCTGCGGCGGTCAAAGATGACTTACCATGAAAACGTTCGTCCATGCCATTGCTAACAAGTCCTGACTCACGCTTAATGTGTCGTGGCTCAGTCTCGCATGTCTCGCACAGGCTTCTCTGCTCATGAGGATTAGCTTAGCAGTTTTTACAATGTTTCTATCTATTCACAGCCACACAAGAGTTGACCTTCTGCTGCTCATTGTCTTGCTGTCCAGTAAGCTCATCCCACTGCCACACTGCCTGTTCATTTGTGGGCAAATCGTGGGACTTTGAGTCAGATTGACCTTCCAGAAACTTTTGAAATTGCATTCAGTCAACTTCCAGCTGGAATCTGGCTGTATTGGTTGGTGATGCTGCCCGGGCAAGTAAGAGGCCCTTTTCCAGGTTGGCACAGGGGCTAGATTGTCTCTTTTTGCATGGCAGCATATTCGCGCGCGGACGGTTCAGAGGAGTTCGCAATAAAACCACGATGCGGAACTAAAGCAGAACTCAAGGTTACCGAGAGCCAAGCCTAAGCCAGTCAGCCTCACTACAGCTTCAGCATTTTAAGCACCCCAGCCAAAAAGCAAAAGAAGTGCTGCACTGCTGCACTTATTCTTTTGCGGTCAACTCCCCAGACATAAATGTGCCTAACGTAACATGTGGCACTATGTGGTCATGTCGAAAGATTTCTATGGTGCAGCCAGTAATACCCAAATGCAAAGCCTGACATATTGCACTCTGAAATCTGAAAGACAGCTTGCAGCACTTGTCATTGGCAGTGGATCTTCGCAGAGCAGGCCTTTTGTGTGGAGTGCGTTTGGATATGTCGGTCATTCAGAGTCCACCTTTGCTTCACACGGGATGCACTTGAGCCGACACTCTACACTTGACACTTTACACTCCACACTCTACACTTTGCACTTGACACTCTACACTTTACACTTCACACTCCACACTCTTCATTTTACACTTTACACTTCACACTCTACACTTCACACTTGAAACTCTACACTTTCACTTTGCACTCCACACTTTACACTTTACATTCCACACTTTCACTCCATACTCTACACTTTGCACTTGACACTCCACACTTTACACTTCACACTTCACACTCTTCATTTTACACTTTACACTCCACACTCTACACTTCACACTTGACACTCTACACTTTCACTTTGCACTCCACACTTTACACTTTACATTCCACACTTTCACTCCACACTCTACTCTTTACACTCCACAATCTAAACTTTACACTTTGCACTTCACACTCTACACTTTGCACTTTACACTCCACACTCTACACCTTTCACCCTACACTCCACACTCTACACTTTACACTCCACACTCTAACTTTACACAGCACACTCTAAACTTTACACTCTTCACTTTACACTTTAGGATCCACACTATCCACTTTGCACTGCACGCTCCAGACTCTTCACTTTACACTTTACAATCTACACTTCAGACTCTACACGAGATTCCGCATGCAACTCTCCACTGTTTTCACGCTCCACACTCTGCACTCCGCACCATTCCACACTCCACAGTCTACACTGGTATGGTAACAGGGGAAGAATGTACGAGACTGAAGAAACATGTTGAAACAACGTGTTTCACAAAAGTGTTTTGCGCCACTGCATTCGGGTTCGTTGGTTGGTCTTGTCTCTTCCCTTCCGTTGCCTACCCTTTTGCTGTTTTCTGCAATTTCTCCGGCAAAAACTGTTCTTATTTTTTCGAACAGTTCTTGAGCAGGCCGCGAATGAGACCACGTATTAAAAGGACCTCGTCTCAAACATCTTGTTGATTTGTTCCTTCCTAGGCAATCAGGACATGAAAAGATTACACAGCATGGTCGGCGCATGTCTGTGTAGCTGGTGCATCACGAGTTTCCAAACCAAATGTTGGTACAAATGAACCATGCGGTTTGATACTGATGTTGTTTGATACCACCGTGTGGCAGCGGCCAGGAACAGGAAGTTCATTCAGCCTTCGGAGAACAGGTTGCTCGACTCGTGTTTGCTTGATATTTGACATGTGTCCGGCCTATGCAATATTGAACGTTCTTTTCAATTTCACCTGACATTGTGTTGTGCCCTAATTTGCGATCCTCCTTCTGATTCCTTTGGTATGCTTTTCTTTTGGTCATTCAGAATCTGTGCTTTCTATTTATGCCGTGCTGCTTAGTGCGTACCTCGCACAGCGTTCAAAATTGCGACTCGACACTGCTACAGTTTGTCACGTTTTTCATCGGTTCGGTTTACCAGGGGAATTCCTGAAAACATAAAATTCTGTGAGACAATGACAGAAAGAAGATGCCTTGTGAATCACTAGCATTTGCATGGCCTGTTTCTTGATGCGTATGTCTTTTGGAAGCGCTTTTCAAACTTTGAAGATCCATGGAGATTATGTGTTTTTAAATCTCAGCAGCTCAGGAATCTCTGCCGGCCATGTCAAATGGATCAAGTCAAGGCATCTTGACAGGTAATGCCTCATCAGCCTCAAGTCTGGACGAAGCTTCATGACGCTTCCATGGACCCCAACCCAACATATTAATTGCATGAAAAGTGTGTTTAATCCTACATCAAAGTTGAAGTTCCCTGTATGGGGCGATGAATGCAGGGTTTTTTCATGTAGGTGCCAGATTTCTTGCACAGAATTTAGCCCATGAGTTCAACCAGTTTGTAAAGGAACTCAGTTGGCAAAATGTCAGCTGATTCAGCAACTTGCCATGAAGAGAAACGATTTGACGCTGCCTGAAGCTGATCTCCCTAAGAAGGTCAAACATGTGCGAACCCGCATAGCTCGCGGCAAAACTGCAAAAAAAGTAGAACCTTCTGTTCCGTCCCAAAGCACCCATGGTGTCCACCCAAATTGGCAGCTGGAGGAGGCAGATGGTGATGATGCAAAAGCAGATTGGATCTTCAGCTCCAGGGAGGAGCTGAATCCAGATGAGCCCCTGCTTAATGATGTCCCTGCAGACCACAGCTTTGCTGGAGTCACGATTGAGGAACTTCAAAACATGCCGCCGTTGCCAAAGATCCCTGCACCATATAGACCTGATGCACTCGTTGACAGTCCTGCCAAACAGACGGATTTTGGATTCTGGGAAGATTTTGACACAGAGTCAACGAGAGATGACACGCGAGCCGAGCTTGAACGTCTACAAATCGAGACCATTGTCGGGCTTGTTGACAGTCTTGAAGTTGAAGTAGGTGGAGCTCACATGAAACGGAAGCTTTTGTTCTTGTCAAACAAACAGGCAAGATTGCTTCCCTTGGACAACATTGACAAAGTCATGTCCGGCTTGGACTTCTACCCTCGACCAAAACTTGTGTGAGTTTGACCTGTCTAATGTATATTTTGTATAGCCAAGTGATCACATGCCCCGTTGACATTTGGCTTTAGGGCCCTTGAGTCATACCGCGCTGCCGTGGTAAAAGTTGGGCATTTGACGATCCCGTTTCCAATTCATATTGGTAGCGGAGCGGGTGACGACCTGCATCCGGTGGTACGTCAGTGACCCAGGGAACCCTTTGTGAATTTGAGTCTGGTAACTTTGGGAATCAACTGAACTTCGAGTGTGTCGTGGTTCGGGAATCTGTCTGACCCTGACCAGGGCAGACACTTGTTAACGTTTTTCCTTGTTCGACTCCGAACGGAGCGAGCATCATGTCGATCAATGGCCTTCGTTTCAGCCAGGAGCGCCATTCGTCGGCACCACTTGAGACGAAGAGTGGATCATACATCTATGCAGGTGATGCGGCGAACTTTCATGATTGGCAGTTCAGGACTCTCCTTCGGATTCGTCTTTATGAGCAACAATTGGAGGAGGAGACAAGTAAGCCTGCGGATCCCGTTGGGACCACAGCAACAGAGCCTGCCGCAGAAGACGCAGATGAGTATGCTACTTTTCCAGATTTGTCGGGTGCTACTCAAGCAGCCCAGCCTACATCAGCAGTCTCGACTCCGAAGTCTGGAGCGAGCCGAAAATCCTCGAAGTCCGGCAAGCAGAAGACAGACATTGACCGTGGACCATTGGTCAACAAGGTGATTGAAGGACTGAGAGGAGATGCTTTCTCAATAGCTAGGGATCTTGGACTTGAAGTGTTGTCCAAACCTGGTGGCCTTGTGAAACTTGTGGGTGAGATCAAATCCCATGTGTTTCCAAGAGCCCGTGAGGAAGCCAAGGAATTATTTCGAGCAGGACAGAAGCAAGGTGGTCCTTTGTCTCGCCAACCAGGCGAACCCATGCTTTCCTATGTTCAGAGGAGACGACGTTGGTGGCACATGCTATGCGAGTTGGATGACACAATGGTGTTTTCGGACAGCTTGAGGACAGAGTTGATGTTGGAGTTGAGTGGGCTCAATCGACAGGAGATCCTCGTTGTGAAGGCCTGTGCAGACACTAAGGATTTTGAAGGTGTTGGCAAGGTGCTGATCGAGAACTACAGTGGCACTCACTTGCGAGAAGGGTCACGATCCTGGACAGGACGTGGTAATCCTCAACAGCATGGCAAGTCGTCAGGCAAGGGTTATGGCAAAGGCAAACCTTCTTCGAAGGGATCGTATTCCCAAGCAGCCTATGCAGCCTACCCCGATGATGGGGAGGAACATGCAGAATCTTGGGATGAAGCTGTGGATCAATCCTGGGAGGATGATTCATATGTTGGCATGCTTGGTGACATTGCGGAAGAGGAGCCAGGAAACCTAGAAGGTGACAACGAATTTGATTACTTTGACGATGTCGATGAGTACGAAGCAGTTGCATTGAACAGCTTGCTTGAACTTGAAGGTGCAGAAGACGATCGACAAGCAGGAGACGCCATCCAGCTACAACTTGCTGCTTTCACCGCAATGGGGAAAGCAGGTGGCAAGGGCAAATCCTTCGGGAAGCCCAAAGGAAAGGGGAAAGGAAAGATCGTGAAGTCCAACCTCACGATCGATCAGAGAAGACGGAAGCTCACAGAGCTGAAGTCGAAGAGCAAATGTTTGAGATGCGGAGTCATAGGGCACTGGGCCGGTGACCCGGAATGTAAATTCCCGGGGTCGAAAGCCGGAGCCCCTGGAAAGTCAGCCCCAAAGCCCGCAGCTCACTTTGCCGACATGAGCGATTCTTCAGATGACGATGGTGTGACTTTGACAGCTTCACCTGATCGTGACAGAGATGGAGTTGCTATGATGGCAGTTCGACAAGCGAAGCCCAGCAGTCGACCTTCACGTGCCGCAGCATCCAGCAGCAACGTTGGCTTGATTTCCCGGGATCTCGATGTTACAATGAGACCCGAGGACCATGGGTGCATCTTTCCTGTTGGACAGTTCAAGGGTTTGTCTTTTTGGAATGTGTTGTTTGAACAGACAGGGTACTATCATCATGCCAAGAAACATACCCCCAAGAGTCCATACTATGTCACATGGTTGAATTGGGTTGACAAGTACTTTGTGGTTGGTGCTGATGGGATTCACTTGCGCGAAGTCCCTGTTGAGCATGTCGAGCACCGAGATTTGTTGGTGGCTCGGGGAACTGGCAGAAAGAAACCCCCAAATCCTCCTTTGCCGAACAAGTGTCAGGAATGTCGTGAGTTTACAAAACAAGGTTCTACGGGGTACACCATCAGGAAGACCTGTCTTGTGTGCGGTCATTCCGAAACAACAAGACGTGACATGGTACCGTTGATGACCCCTGAAAATTGCCTTCATGACGACACAGATTTTAGGGGATCCAGCAAATCAACACACCGTACTTTCTGCAAGAAGTGTTGCACTTTCATTGATGAAGCTCCTATGCAGATTCGCAAGGAGCGTATTGCCATTGCCAAGAAGGTTGAAACAGCATCAGTTCGAACAGTCCCCATTGTTGAATCATTGGTTGAAGAATCGGATGGATTGAATCCAGTCCAGTTGGAAGAATTGTTGCCCCTGTTTGCCACTCTTGTTACCGAAACCTGCCAATCTGAGGTGATGACCCGTGCACGACTTCATGAACTACTGCATCAAGCCATCAATGACGTGACAGAGGAAGAGGACAGTTTTTCACTTGTCAATGAAGATGGGCACGGCGACCCCTCGGGCAGGGAGTTAGCTGGGTACGTTGGCATTTGTTTGCATGGAAGTGACACTCAATACCCTCAAGACTTGGTTTACATGAACTATGAAACTATTGACATTGCCAAGTCACCCCATGTTTTTGCAGTATTGGATGAAGGTTGCAACAGCACTTGTCATAGCAAAGCCTGGGCAGTCGATGCAGAAGCACGACTGGCCCGATTAGGTTACAGCATGCCATTGAAGGATGACGGTTGTAAGAGTTTTGCTGGTCTGGGAAGTGGTAGTACCAAGACCGAAGGTGTGAGATCTATTCCTTTTTCGCTGCTGCTTCCAGACGGGAACATGCATGGGGAGTTGGATTCATATCAATTGTCAACAGGCAACAGTCCATTGCTTCTTTCATTGCATGCGCAAACCAAGTTAGGCCTAGTGAAGGACCTAGCAAAAGGGGTGGTTTCCATCAAAGATCAACCATTGAATATCAAGAGGTGTTCAAAATCAGGTTTACTTGTGATGAACTTGACTGAAGGATTGACCAACATCAACAACACACCGTCGGATGAACTTCCCCAAATCCCGAAGTGTCACAGAAAGTACAACATCGCATACACGGCATCCACATCGGAAGTTGCCATGGCTGACCATGACATGTGTGGTTTTCATTCGAGGGACTACGACATCTTGCAGACGAAGTTGAATGAAGAACTGCGCAGTGACAGGAAGGTGATCATCATGACTCGTGGACGTAGATTTCAACAACATGCGTGCAGAACCAGCAGGAACACTTTGAGCATCAACTGTGAGGACATTAACGATCCTGATCAGGACGTTAACTCAGGTCGCATGTGGGTTGGCATCATGGGATCCTTGAGACTATGAGCAAAGTAGACAGGTTCATCCAACATCTCAACAACATCCTCCAGTTCGTCACACAGCAGGAAGCCGACAGTAAGGTGCTGGTGGACTTGGAGTGCAAGTCAGGTCGCCACAGGTCAGTGGGACAAGGATTTGCTGCCTACAGGTGTCTCAAAGTCCTTGGTTATGACGTTGTTCTCATTCATGCATCATCCTGGATGTGGGGAGAGATGCGTTGTGGTGGAGTTTGTCATGGATGTAAGGACATGGCTGCGAGCTTGGGACAAATTCGACATTTGATCCCGAACATGTCAAGGTTGGCACGATCACGAGGCAATGTGGCTTCAAGCCGTGACGTGCGCGATGCTCCAGCCGATGATGTTTCAGGTGGACATTCATCTCATCCTACATCAGATCACCCCACTGCAGGACATCCTACATCAGATCAACTTGATGAGATTCGACGTTTGGTACAAGGGCTTGCAACAGATGTTGGACATCTTAGGACAGAACAGGTTGAGATCAAAAGGATGGCCGAGACCGGAAGGAGATCAAGGAGTCCATTGCGTCGCCGGAGATTACCGACGCCACCGTCGCCACCAGCAAGGCGCAGAAGATCACCAAGTTTTCGTCGCAAGTTACCTCCTTGGAGGCATGCACAAGCATCCAGGGGAAGAAGTCCATCGCCGAGACCACTTACATCGAGGCCAGCTCCCAGGAGTCCAGATCATCCTCCACCGCACATTTCGGACGTGCCAGGGACCGATGACGGATCCCGATCTTCAGGGGCCATAGATGGACCTCGAACTTCAACGTTGCCACAACGATCTCGAGAGCCTCCCAATGATCGCGATGAACTTGAGCGACTGATCCGAAACAATTTGGCATCAGATGGACCGTTTGACAACAAGAACGTGTCAGTGAAGACATTGGACGGCGAGCTCCTTAGCGAAGTTGTGTCTTTTTGCATCCGTGAGGGTAACAGGGATCGGCTCTTTTGGATTTGCAAAGATGGAGAAGATCCACTGGTGGAAGGAGTTCGCATGAACGTCCTGATTCGAGATCATATCCGGCCAAATCGGATTGTCAAGGTCTCGAATGGCATCAAGCACTGGAAGCGATCTACATGGTGTCGACCTCGCAATGGAGGCGACTGGGAACTCATTGAAGACAACGTTGATAGCAGGGCAACAGTGCGTTTGAGCAACTCGTGGATCGATGTGATTGTGTTTCACCACCCACCTGGGGTGTTCGATGACTCCGGGAGGGGAGCATACATGAGCGTTCGTGTCAGGTTGACCCCCAACAAGAAAATTCGGGATGTAAGGGATGATTTTGAAAAGTCTTTGAATCCAAAAGTTGAGATGAAATCCTCAGAACCCAAAAGAATGTATGCAGTGAAGTCGAAGCCCCAGCCAAAGGTCTTGACGCCCAAGTTGGAACAAGATGATTCCGATTCATATGAATATGACTATGAGTATTCTCCCACTGGTTTCATGGCTGTACGTTTTGATTCCAACGTTGATTTGACAGTCCATCCTGATGAGAGGAGGACCATGAGCAAGAAACACAGGAAGATGGTGTTGGAAGGTATCAACAATCTCAACAACCATGACCGGGTAATGCAGTCCAGTCTTGGGATGCAGCCTCAAGTTTCCAATGGGACATCAGGGGTTGCAATCATCACGTCACATCCGACTCTTTTCCAGGATTTTTTCGAGCACACCTATGACGTTGGCATGAATGCCGCGTACTTGGACGGTGATGCTGAGCAACATGGTTGGAAAGACATGTTCGAAGGTTGCACATTGGTCATTGTTGCAATTGAATACAAGTCAGAACATTATCCACTATGTCATGGGGATCTTGTGTTTGAGTTGGAGCAGTATTGTGATGCCACAGGGTGTAGGTTTCTCATTGTTGATGTCGCACACACTGAACGATGGGAATCATTCAAAACACCACAGATTCCATACATCAATGAAGTTGGTCTTGCTTTTGTGTCAAATGATGATGAACTCATTCAAGGTTTTCAAGACTGGTCTATGTATCGACAATTGGATGACGTTTTGAATTGGGAGTTTTGTCAATGGATTCGTGATTGGTCACTTGAACGTGAATTGGAGGAGCAGATGAGCGTTGCCTTTCCAGCAGAGATCATCGAAGAGGCTCAGGAACATGGTGGGAACTGGGATGCAGTCGATGGCCCAGAAGATGTTGCATTGCAGGATCCGGTTGAGGACCTGACACATGAAGAGACTCTTTTGGATGAGGTTGATATCCCTGGTTTGCCAGAGGATGAAACAGAAAGACGTAGGTCTTGGCGTAAACTTCCCCAGCGTGTCAGGATTGCTGTGCGTAGGTTGCACAGGGCTTTTGGACATGTCCCCAAGACGGTGATGGTCAATTTGGTGCGTGCTGCAAAGGTGAGCAAGGAGTTTGTTGATGCAGTAAAGTTGCATAGATGTGAAACATGTGAGAAAACATCAGCAAAGAAACCCACTCACAAAGTCACGCTTCCAAGTGATTATACATTCAACCATACTTTGGGGATTGATGTACTGGAGTTGACAGATGTAACTGGGCAGAAGTATCAAGTTCTCAACATGGTTTGCATTGGTACTTGTTTTCAACAGGCTGAAGTCGTGAAGGTTGGAGCAGGTCAAGCTTCTTCGCGATCCTGTTTGGACGCACTTATCAAACGTTGGTTCAGTTGGGCAGGACATCCTGTTGCTATCATGTGTGATCGTGGTTTGCACAATCGTGGTGTCTTGCAACAATACATGGATGAACACAACATTCAAGTGCACCATGTGCCCCTTGAGAGCCCGGAATCATTGGGCCGAGTAGAGAGGCATGGTGGTTTGTTGAAAGCTCTTTTCAGACGAGTGTGCACAGAAGTTGGGGCTTGTACCAAAGAACAGGTTGAGTCGTGCATCACACAGGTGCTCAGTGTGAAGAACGACTCTGCACGTGTTGGAGGTTTTTCTCCATCTCAGTGGGTGCTCGGTCGAGCTCCCCGTGGTGTAGCTTCACTCATGTCAGAGGAAGACCATGCACAACTCGGAGCCATTCAGGCCCGACATGATCCTTCATCAATTTTTGCATTACAACATTTGGCCAGGATTGAGGCACAAAAGGCTTTTGTTCACCTTGATTGTTCAAGAAGAGTTCAGAGAGCGTTGACACGCAATGCCAGTGTGTTTGACCGTGAGTTCAACATTGGTGATCTTGTCACTTTCAGACGAGACAATCAGAGAGGAGGAACGTCCTGGTCACCAACATGTCGTGTGATCGGACACGAGAACCAGAAGAACATATGGTTGCTATGTGGTAACGTTCCAGTACTTGTAGCTTCTCACAACATATGCATTGCTTCTCCTTCTGAGGCTCTTGCTCAATCAGTGTTGAATGGTGAACCTGTGATTCCATACAAGATCATCAATGATACAGGTCAACAAGCGTTTCTTGATGCAAGACAATCAGATGAGGTTGAAGTTGTTCGTGATGGTCCAGGACAAGCAGATGATGTTGAGGTTGTCCATGAAGGCAATGTGGATTCAGCACTCCCTCCTATACCAGAAGTATCTGAAGATGAATGGGATATACGGCCCGGTTTCTTTGAAGAAGATGAGGAGGAGGAAGATACAGGTCCAATGGAAGAAGACATCTTCTCACAGAGTAGAACCCCAGAGAGAAGAGTTGAAAGACCACATCCAGGAGATGGAGGTCATGAACGCAACGTGAGACCTCGAGTAGAGTCTCAGTTACAACCTGAGTCGGAGAGAGGCTCATCACTTGTGCCATCTCGAAGAGACTCCTTTGTGCCTGATCTTACTCCAAGTGGCTCCGTTTTGGGACCACTATCCTCGCCGTCAGCATCATCTTGGCCATTGCGAAGGGAACTTTTGGATGACTTACCACATCAATTGCGAACACATCTTGAAAGAGCTCGTGAGAGAGACTCAGAACGAAGTCCTGAAGAACAACAAGAAGCACGAGCATTGTTTGCATCATTTTTGTCCCAGGAAGTTGAAGTCCCTGAGGACGAAGAGCAAGGTAAGAAAGTGTTGAAATCAATCCACTATGAATCAGCGTCACCTGATGTACAGAAGAACATCATGGATGCCAGAACCAAGGAGTGGAGCAAGTTCCTTGAGTTCGCTGCTGTTGTTGAAATTTCAAAAGAAGATGCTGAGAGGTTGATTGCAGAAGGACATCAATGTATTCCTAGCAAGTGGGTTGATGTTGACAAGAATCAGTTCATGAAAGGAAGATCAGATCAAGGATATGTGCCAAAGTTCAAGAGCCGGTTGGTATCATGCGGCAATTTCGAAGTCAGTGAAGGTTTGAGATCAGACAGTCCTACAGCAGATACGGAAGCTCACAACATTCTTTGCTGTTGGGCGGCGATCCAGGGTGCACAATTGCACAGTGCGGACGTCGCATCCGCATATTTCCAAGGTCGTCCTCTTGATAGAGTTCTCATTATGAGACAACCCCGAGGAGGTCTCCCGGGAGTTGATCCAGAGGTGTTTTTCCTTGTGCGGGTGCCTATATATGGATTGACTGACAGCGGTCGAGGTTTTTGGTTGAGGTTGGACGGAGATGCCCGATCCAGCGGCTTGAAACAATCCAAGTTTTACCCAGGATTGTATTTCCTTCCAGGAACCGACAAAGATTGCGTTGCACTTATGGCGACACATGTGGATGACATCTTGTACGCATACATTCCTGAGGGAAAGTCAGTGATCGACAGCTTCTTGGAGAAGTTCAACTTGGGATCAAGTGAATCAAATTCGTTTCGCTATTGTGGCAAGCAATTTGAGCGTACTGCAGATGGAACAATCACACAAGACACTTGTGACAACACCCGTCGCATCAAGCCGATCAAGATCGCGCCAGGAAGATCAGCGTCCGAGCCGTTGGGTAAGGATGATGTGACCCGATTACGATCTGTAACGGGATCATTGGCATGGGTGGCAAGGCAGACTAGACCCGATTTGGGTTATCGTGTGAGCCGCCTACAGTCCAGTATTTCTGGAGCGACAGTTGCTATTTTGCACGACGCAAATGCCGTAGTACAGCTGGCACAACAAGGCATTGAGAACAAGCTCATTTTTCCAGGTGGACATCTAACCTGGGGAGAGGTTGGTATCATTACAGTAACAGATGCTTCATTTTCAAACGAGAAGAACTACAAATCACAACAAGGACGTTTCCATTTTCTTGGAGACATCAATGAGATCAAAGACCCCAAGACTACATCCTACAGGGTGATGCCATTGGGATTTGCATCAAATACAATTCGGCGAGTATGCCGCAGCACTCTTCAATGCGAAGCTTATTCACTGCAGGCTGGACAAGAGAGCGGTGACAAGCTACGTGGAGCATTGGCCGAACTGATGGGCCAACTTGACTCGATGAAAACATGGTTGGATGACAGCCGCAGCTGTATTCCACAACTGATGCTTTCAGACTGCAGGTCTTTAACAGATCATCTTGCGAATGAGGTACTCGGCAGGGTCGCAGACAAACGACTCGGCATTGAGTTGCAGTCGATTCATGAGTCACTTTGGCAAGACGGCCGGAGGACCTGGGATATGCATCATGGCGGAGGAGACATTGTTACCTGGATTGCTACAGGGACTATGGTCTCGGATGCTCTGACCAAGAGCATGCGCCCGGACCTCATTATCCGCGTTTTGAAGGAGTGCATTTATCGTGTACAGAAGAAGCCTTAGAGCCAACTTTTTCACTAGCATCATGTGATCCTTGAAGAACAGGTTGAGTGTGAGTTTGACTGTCTAATGTATATTTTGTATAGCCAAGTGATCACATGCCCCGTTGACATTTGGCTTTAGGGCCCTTGAGTCATACCGCGCTGCCGTGGTAAAAGTTGGGCATTTGACGATCCCGTTTCCAATTCATACTTGTGATCCAATTGGTGCCTTCCACTGCAGCTAGCTTTGGCCAGTGTATGTCAAGTTTTATGTTTGAACATCATTGGACTGATTGCGGCCTACAAACCGAAGATATGAACTTGACCCATTGCTTTGTGTCAGAAAAAGATGGCTTAAACGGGCTGCGCCACACAGAGTACAAGATTCAAACCTTTCTCAAAGAGAGTTTGATTCCGCTGGCCAGGCAACACAATGCCCTGGTCATTGTGTCAAACAGTTCCTGCAGTCTGTCACAGGTGTTTGGCAAACTCTGTGCTGCAGAGGCCGAGAGGCGCAGAGGCAATCTGGGTTTTTACGTCCTGTCGTTCCTGCAGGCTCCTCATTTACTGCTGTCCTGCAAAAATCCAGACACGATTGCCTTCCAGCTGCGAAGAGCTTCCAAGAATTGGAGGAAATATGAGGACAAAATGTGGTATGTCCTGAAGAAAACACACGGGGAGGAGAGCATGTTTTACAACCACTATATGGATGCTCCAGATGGTTGCACGCACTACATCATTGCAGACTGTATCAGTGAAGATGAAAACGGTTTGAAACGAGACTGGGCAGCTATCGCAGTCCTGCGTTCTAGGCTGGTACAAGCGATGCTGTCCAGCCAGATTCCTGGTTTTGGGGTCGCAACCCTGCAGCGCATGTGGGGATATAGAGATGTTATAAAATTAGCGGATGATGTGGCCCGTGGCATACCTTTGCTGCTGCTGGACTCAAGAGATCCACCACATAGACCAGTCCAAAGCGTGCAAGAAGCCGTTTCCCATTTGTCCCAGTTAGACGATGACCTGGCTCAGGAGGGAACAGGTAACTTCTACAATACATCGACCTTGGCCTTCCTTCATCAAGCGTTGCTTGGCCTCTTGCACCGGAGCCATGCTCGCCGGAGTGGAGCAGGTGGAAAAATTGTTGAAGATAGGATCACCAAAGACAGTCGCGTACCACTTTGGCAACAAGTCGAAACCTTGGAGGAAGAGACCTTTGTGAATGATGCTTCGATGGAATCCATGGAAGACAATACCTGCATATTGCGTCAGAAAGATGCTAGGCACTCTTTGGCTGAGAGCTTAGTGGAAGGATTTCTGACCATGATGGGTAACAAGATGACATTGGCTCAGCCCAATTGGGATGTCAGTGAGGTGCCAAAGGACCATTTCAAAAACATCCTCCGTCGAACAGTCGGGGAGCTTCTTCGATGCAACTCCAAGGCAAATCTGGATGAGTTCCTGGAGCATTACAGTATTTGTTGTTTGTCAACGGAGCACCTCAATAAGATCACCTCCTTCAAAAACGCACCATTCTGCGTGAAGCATGGCATGAAAGCTGGAACGCTCTTCAAGAGAATCCTTCAAGTGGCTCCCGGAGCAGATTGGAAGGATGCCAAGCAATACATGTTTACATGTTTGAAAGAGGATTGTTCACAATTTGATGGCAAGTTTAAACCGAGGAGCCATCTCCCTCACTCCCCTGACATCAAAGGTGTCTTCATGGAGGTTTTAGTATCTCCTCTGACCCACTCCGCAAATTTGATGGATTTGACCCGAATTGAGAAGGTGCTAATGCTTGTGAACGTGGATCGACGTGTGCATGGGGTTGGGTTGACAAGCTGTCAGGTGCTTCAGCGGGCTTGGGCCGATGTAGACGTCTACCATCATGTGGCCTCCCAAATGAAGTGGGTTGCCAAAATTTCCTACGCTATCGTGCTGCTGACAGGTTATGCTATCACAGTTTTGACGATCGTAAATGTTAATGTGCCAGATGCAATGCCTGAAGATACCACAAACTACATTGTTTTGGGCTTGTCTGTCAGCGTAGGGGTGACATCTGCCCTCCTGGCTTATATAGATCCTACCACCAAATGGCAGCAGCTCCGTGCTGCTGCGCTGACATTGGAAGCTGAAATCTGGAAATTTCGATCCTCTGCTGGTGTGTACACACGGGATATGATGTCGAATTATGTGGAATCAGCAGAAGAAACACTAAGCCATTTTGTCAGTGTGACAGAGGATTCTGTATTGAAATCAGCTGGGGTATCTGAAAGTTCCTTTCTTTCCACCTTCAGTTTCAGCCGAGCACCAACTTCAGTCAGAATCTACAAGCATGGGCAATACCAAGGGGCAGCTTGGAAAGGAGCTGTGCGATCAAATGATGCTGGCATTGTGGATGACCACTATTCTCCGCTGACGGCTCGGGAGTATATGGCTCTTCGCTTTGAATCCCATGTTCAATTTTACCAACGGCGTTTGCCAAAATATGCCAGGAAGCACACTCTGCACCAATTTGTTCTGGCGATTGCTTCAGGGCTGCTGACAATCTTGGTGTTTTTTGGCGAGTCGCGTTGGTGTGCTTTGTGCACAGCCGGGGTGGCTGCGGCAACTGCATGGATAGAGTTTAGCTCCACAAAACGGAAGATGAGGCGGTATTCAGAGACGGTTCATCAAGCTCACCAAGTGCTGCTTTGGTGGCAGAGTTTGCAACGAATGCAGCAAACCGCAAATTTTACTGTTTTGGTTCAAAGATGTGAGGCGTGCTTTGCAAGCGAGTACTCTTCGTGGGTGTCTTCAATGAGTGCCCAGCGGGAAGCCCAGAGGAAGGTCGGAAATGACCTGGATGAAAATGGTGATCCCTCGCAGAAAGACAAATCGCATGTCGTTACTCCAGATCTCTCATAGAACATCCTGCGAAACGGAGAGAGATATCATTGCAAGCGATTTGCGGGTGCAGAAAGAATCATAGTTTGATTGCGAAAGGAACGTCATTGCCTGTGAAATTCACAAGTCGTCGAACACCGACGGACATGAATATATAAATGCCCCAAAGGGGCCATGAGCAGCCTGAGAATTTGCTGTTGCGGCTTCAGAGGCTGATCGAAAAGATGCTGCTCAAGTTCAATCATGGCTGTTGGATAGCTTGTCTTTGCTTGTCCACCGTTTCGCTCCACAGCCCAGCATGCAGCTCGATCTCTCGTGTTCCTCGAACGTGTTTTCAATGTTGCAGGCTTGCATCCTCCCTCTCTTGCTGGCAAAGAATTAACATGTTGGGCCTGTGCAGATGGACAAAGGAGGCCAGGTGGGGCTGATAGATGGGTCCAAAGTAGTATGTTGAACAAGAGGATTCCAAGTGGAATGAAGTGAAAATACTTCGTTCCAGAAGATTGAAGATTTCCCCTCGTCAAAGAACTTTCAAAAGCGATTGGCGATAGCCAAGTCACATCAGTAAATTGGTTCGGTCCCATAGAAACATTATGGGGTGAACCCACCGAAAGGACCTTGGTTGAATACCTGTGGTTTGCACAGCAAGTGGTCAGACAGATGAGGCAAGATGGTGAGACAAGATGGAGTGTATTTTTTAAAAACTGTGTGGCAGAAACACTTGGTGTCTTCCCCTGCAACATGTCAGTAATGGAGACCCTATCACCTTCACCGTCCATGTCTGATTCAAAGATTCTCGTGGCCAGGAGAAGGCTTCTGAGCATTGCAGACATGAACTGCAGATGCGAAAAAAATCGATGTTTTTATCTTTCATGTTCATCTTGTCAGTGGCAATTTAGATCGAAATAGAATGGCAATTACCAGGCTTGATGTGCCATGGGAGGCCGTGTTTTTTGATCAGCCCTTGCTGGCTGAAACGAATTTTATCCCAGTTGAAACCGGCCCTCTACCGCCAGTCTGGTTCAAGATCCTTCTCGCCTGCATGGGACTTGGGCGCCAATAGTTGAACCCTTACTGTCCAAGACCAAGAAGATCAAGAAGTAAACCCTCTGCCACTTCCTTTGAATGGTGTTGGCTTTTGTTCTAAGTCGTATCAAAAGTTTTTTTTGGTGTGTGCGGCGAACCACAAATCCAGCCATGATACCTATGCTGTGGATGTACAAATCCAACCTGCAAAGAGCCTGGGTTGCAGCATCTCGGCAGATCAATGCTCGCATTATTGGGGGCATTCTGGGGACTTATAAGATAGCAATGGATCGAAACATGTCAAGACCCATTCACAGCCTTTGATTTTCCATATGCAATGGGGGGGATGAGCCATGAAAAACAGCAGCTATTTTGGTGTTTAGAAGGGTACCAGGGTATTGATCAAGGATATGACCAACATTTTGGGGAGGCATTTCGGACGAGAATGGGGGTTTGACCGCACTTCGACAAAAAGGGCAATGGGTCTGGACTTTTGACGGGTAGGCCGCCGGCCGAAAAAGTCATAATGTGAGGTGTGCTGTATGCATTGTCATCTCGTAGGGTTTGCTCAGCGATGCAGATAGCCTTCTCAGCCAAAGTCTAGTCTGCCGGTCCTGTTCGGATTATTTTGCATTTTAGCCTTGTGGACCCAAGCCTCCTGGACCCTGGCATCCATCGTCAGTATTGCATCGCCGAGGATGAGCGGGTCACCAACAAGGCACTTGGCGTCTGGGGACAGACAAGTTGCAAGCTACCTCAAAATCTGGCATGAACAAAGAAGAAAGAATTCAGAACCATAATCTTCATCTGATGCCAGATGTCAACAGTTGTGAACTACAAGTTGGTTCCGCCATTTACATTCAAAACTGCATCGCCGGGCGAGAAATTACCATTCTCCCCGCAAACCGCACCGTGAGGCCCAAAGAGGCCTGGAAAGCGATCTATGAGGACTGCAACTTCAGACACTTCAGAAATGTCTATTGCAACTTCGATTTTTGTTGGAAGAGCGACATGTTCAGCGTGACTGATGTCACAGACCGCAAGGCCTCTTGCACATTATTGCATTTTTCTTGTTTGTGAATCCAAACACCGAGTCCTTGCACGTCAACATGCTATCCAAGAGTTGTTGGAAACTTGGAGGATAGCGATTCAGAGAGCCCACAGGGCTCTCCACAGGGCTCTCGGCGGGCTGGATCAGTGCCCGCTCCGCCATCCGCAGCAGCTGCAGTTGCACCTGCAGTTCCTGCAGTTCCTGCAGTTGCTGCGCTGCGGCAAAGGACAGAGGCACCAATGAGCCGCACCGTTCGGAGTTTCGAGTATGACTTTGATCTTGAGAAAAACCATTCTGTGAATGAATCCTTTTTGTTGGCAAAGAAGTAAACTAAGTAAACATTGTTTTCATGTGTAATTGTACGTCGGTTTGATGAAATCTCAACAGTTTCCCTCTTCAAATTGTCAGAATATGGGCCTTGCGATTTGTACTGTGGGATTGACCCTGTGCAGGCGAGATGCAGGGCACGCCCAGCCACAAACAGCACTTTGCCGAGGCCTTTTGGACATCAGAAATGTTCAAATCCAGGGAATCATTATTTCTCACTCGTCTACTTCAAAAGTTTTGGTGCTTGTCAGGTCAGGAGTTTCCAGGCCTCGGCCAGGGGCGTTGAATTTATTGGAACCAGACAGTGACGTGGCAAGAATTGGTTCAGAGACACAGCATAATTCAGCAGAATAAACAGGTGGATACGACTTTGAACGTCAAAAAGTCACTGCGTTTGTGTCCTAAATCAGTTGCTTTGATATCTTTTGAAGGTGAACTGTTTTCTTGTTGGCTTCTTTCTACACCAAAGACATCAGCAACTCAGGTAGTGGTGAATCAGTTGCTGAAGATGAAACGAAAGAAGTTGAGGCCGATGCTTCGCAAGAGAAAAATAGATTTGGGTCAAAACCTGAAAAGTGTTTAATCAGGGACGAACATCCATGTGTTGTTTTTGGGGTTTGTATACCAGGCTACCAGGGCTTTGACTCCCTGAAACAACTTGGCATGGAGAAATTCTCCATGATTCAAACATTGCGCACGCTGCAATCAGCATTGCAGCGCAGGTTAGATCAGCTTCAGAGCCAAGGCCTCAGAGAAGTATTGGCTATACCTGCTAAAAGATGCTAAAATGTGGTTTCAAATATGTTTCTATGTTGAACCCTTTCAGGGGGTTGAAACCAGCAACCAGAGTCCTGAGGCCACAGGTGAAACGGCCTGCAGAAGAGCACCATACCTAGACATCGGGAGACGAATGTCGTCTTGGGCAAGTTCTCGGCATGGTGTGTTTCAAAATTGTGAGGAAAAATCATGGTTGAGAAAATCATGTTCTCCGAAGGGCTCGAAACTCTGGTCCAATTCAGGCTGCAGGGGTCCCTGCCAAAAAGGCGTGCCGTCGAACCTGTGGCGCTGGAAGCGTCGCCAGAGGTGCCAAACAGCGGTCTTAGATTTGGGGAAAAAAAACCTATTTTCAAACCCACGTATTATGTAAGGCACATCAATGCTATGCAATGTCATGTATGGTCCTGGATGTGATGTAACGGAATGAAGCGTAATGTATGTAGGGATATAATGGGATATACAGCCAGTAGCAATAGGAATTGTCTAGGAATGAGGGCGGTGCACCCAATTTATGGCAATCAAACGTCGGATTTTCTCAACTATGATATTTTGGGGGTGTCCCATAAATTTCAAACAAGCATAGATTGCTGATGTCAGTAGAAATGCTTGAAGCGACAAAATGCTATCCTTTTTTTTTCAATTTTGAACAGTTGTCCTAAAGACATGTAGTATTTTCGTGCCCTTTTTCCTTTGCAGAGATTTGATGACCTCGTACAAATCTTATCATTTCAAGTATGGAGGCTGCATTTGACAATTTGAGCAGGTTCAACAAGCCGAACGAGTCGAGCAAGCTGAACAAGCTCAACGAGCTGAAGCTGGCGCAAAGGAACCCAGTGCAGGTGAAGCCTCCCACGCTCGAGGACTCAAGTTGACTGTCCAGTGCCAAGGCTGACACAAAAATGTTGGACTTTTGCATCTCGTGGGCAATTTCTCACACTTCTCTTTCTGCAGGAGTGAAACGATCGCTCGCATCTTTTCTCGGCCATTGACCTAGACTTGCAGTTGCATTCATGCCGATATTGCATTTGTTCAGCATGTTCGCTACAAGATCCCCAGGTGTTTCCAACGAGTTGCAGAGTGCAAAACGTTGTGCAAGATGGAAAGTTGCTGAATTGAAGACTATCACACAGGTCCAGACGAAGGATTGGCTGCAAAATGGTCTGAAGGCACGGAGAGATTGTCTAAGCAGACTTGCTTTTGAAGCTCAGACGAGCAAGCGTTTCATTGGTAGTAGGCTACAAGAACTCAAGACATAAGGGCAACAGATGACAAACCCTTCACATTGCACAGCCTTTCATTTATTATGACTCATGTTCCTTCAAGAGTTGAGAACATTGAAAGTATTGATACACTTTGTGCAACTTGACCCAACTTTGCACATGTTGATGGCCCCGATTTGTGGTCGTTTTGTGTCAGCTTCAGGTGCTCTTCAACTTGCTGACGTCGAGCTGCCGGAACCAATCGTCAGATGACCCAGCCCAGCGTCCAAAAGATCAAGGAAACAGCACCTGACTATGAAATCGAAATTTATCGATGATGGCTATTTACAACACCATAATGGATATAACTTGATATAACTTGATATAATATATCCACTATATTGTTTTTTTTTGATGGATATATTAGTGATCCCTTTCTAATTGATTATTCATCCAAAGATGTGGATTTCAACGGCCTCGAAAGCCCAATTCCTTGGCAGTTTGCAGCCTTTCGATCAGCTTAGGCCAGCTGTTTGCGTGGCTACCAAAGAGAGGCAATGGTTTGAAATCGCTTCGCGTCTTTGTAAAAAAACCTTGCAAAAAGAGTCTTTGGCTTTTTGTTGCCGTGCAGGGAGTGCGATGGCTCTACCAAAGACTTTTTGTGGAGGCAGGATATCCATCAGCAAAATCGCGCATTGGTTATGCTACAAGTTATGTCGGTTGTTCAAGATTCTAAGTGCCCTTGGAGTCTCCAGTAGTCGCTTCCACTGGCGCAGCATTTGAATCTAATTGTGCTCTGACAGTCTCTCAATACAAGTCGAAGACATCCAAACATAAGTCAAGAGAAATGTGATTCGGCGATAAATATCAAAAAAGGTCGTTGCAGAAGAGCTGGACAACAAACAATGTTTCATCAACTGCTGTGTTTACTGTTGAGCATGGGATTTGGTTTATTTCCCAGCCTCAGAATCGTGGCTGTCTTCTCACTGATGAGATGGGCCTTGGGAAGACTGTGTGCAGCACCCAGACATGACATGACAAGATTCAAAAGTCTCCCAAGAATTTCCCAGATTTGAACTGAATACATCTGAATACTTTGCAGTTCTTTGAAATTATCTGCTTGCACACAGCTATCAGCTGACAACAGTAATGTTGAGACTGAAGCTGAGGCAAGTGGCTTGTTGTCTGGCAGCTGGTCTTTTCGGGGTGCGCACAGTGGAATCCACGTCCTCAATGAGAAACTTTTGTTTCACATGTGCGGCAGGGCAGCGAAGTTGGCACCGTTCTGGTGGTGTGTCCACCCACATTGGTGCGGAACTGGGCTCGTGAGCTTACTCGCTGGGGCCCCTTTGCAGTTGAGGCCACGGTTGTCGCGTGGAATGATCGTTTGACCTGGAACCCAAAGGAGCAAAAGTCACGGTGGATAGCTATCCAAATTCTAATGTTCACTGTATGCAGAACTGCCAAAATTCAACAATAGGAAACAACTCTAGTTGTTGGTTTCATGCTGCATAGGTATTCTGATTCAGGGCTTTCATGTAGCTTGCAGGTGCTCACACCAAATCCATCTACTGCGGCAAATCGACAACGAGTGTTGCAACGACCCTTGGGCTGAAACTGATGATTTTCAGGTTTGCGGCTTGAAAGTTCAAGATGTGAGATACCAATCCAATCTAACCCAACTGTCCAAGCTTTGAGCGTTGTGGATTTTGTTAAGGCTACGAGGCCATCTCACCAGCCCCCGGAGTTGATTCACAGCATGAAGGTTTATAAAAATTTTGTAAAACTCTCCCATTCAAATGGCCAAATCTTTTCCATCCATGGTGGCCATGCCAGGGGTTGAAGCTGGTCTGGCTGACGCCCTGATCTTAGGACTCATGGGGACTGGTCCACAACCATGGTTGATGTTTTGCGATGGCCGACCAGCAGTCCAAGAGTTGTTTCCTTTGTCTATGGTGTTTATAGATGTTTTTGGGGTATTGAGAAATCACAGATTAGAAACTGAATGATTCGTGCCAGAGATCAGGGACGTTATTAACTTCGGCACCCTTAGGTGGTCGTAGCAAGTCGTGGCTTGCTCATCAGGTCCAAGTCTTGGAGTCTCCAAAGGTGGCAACACAGTTGTGTTTCGCAACACTTTTCGGGGGATTGAAAGATCAAAGAATCAAATGTGAAATCCTGTCCATCCATGGATTCTGTTCATCTTGAACATTTACGCAATTTAAATGTCCACTGTCGTCCCATATGGTTTAGGCATTTCATACTAGTTACTCGTATGTGCAAGTTTGATGCGCATCTAAAAAGTTATAACCCCTGCGGACTCTAAAATGCATTCAGCCCAAGGCAAATATATGCACTGTATGCATGGAAGACTGGGGTTGTTTTTCAGTTGGAGTTCAGATGTGCCAGTGAAATTTGCATCTTCAGAATGGTCTAAAGTTCCAATGATTCCAAATGTCTCATCCGTTGCTCTCCTCTGTTCCTGTTGCGCAATTCCTCCCAAATCAAGACTTGTTCCACGAACTTGAACTGTAGATTTCCTTTTAATACTTGAACTGTGAATCTAAAGTGAACAGTTCAATCCTTTTGAAGCGTAGGTTTTGAGTGCTGGTGCCTGAGGTCGGAAGGAGGTCCTTCGGCCACGGAGGCTTTACTTTCACGCAGGTTCGGACTCAATCCAGTCCTTGGTGGCATCAAACTTTTGGAAGCAAAAAGTCCTTTACATAACTTTTTCATGGTTTCCGGCACTGTTTCCTGACGCAACTGTTTTGCAGAAATGGAAGCCTTTTTTTGGTGATTTGTCTTGCTCGGCATTGGGAACAGCCTGTCTCTTCCCACGAAGCTTTCAGCTTTCGAAGCTTTCAGGTGGGGCTGTGTGGTGGTGGACGAAGTGCATCAAGCAAAGAACCCCAAGGGCCAGCTGCATAAGGAGCGCTTGCTGGATCTCAGGGTCCATTCCAGAGATCTGAAGAGTTTGTTGCAAAAATGGAACCATTGACTCAAATGTTAGTTGTATCGTGAAATCCATTGAGTCAAACCCCCATCTTTCCATATTTCTCCCATATTTATCCCAAGTTTCCTTATGGTTTCCCTCTGACCATTGCAATAAAATCCATGTGTTCCCCACAAAAAAATCGTGGCCCTGCCAGGCCATTGTGGCTCTGAACAGCCCTCGAAAGCTGGGCCTCACAGGCCATGAATTTGACCTTTATGGCACTTTATGGGTCATAGAGTCATATATTAACGAAGTGAGAAATATCTGTTCTCATGATCCGAATGGATTGTGATATTTCTTATGATTCTCCTCATCAATTTTTCATGTGGAATATCACAATTATCACAATCCATTGGGAACCTCCTCTGGTATAAAGGGATGCCTGGCTGCTGACGCACATCGCCATTTCAATAGAACCCCTATGACCCGTAAAGAGATGACAGAAATTTTGGGGCGCTTGCGAATGCACTGGTGAAGCTCTCCTTAGTGTGGTCGTTGCCAAGGAAGTGTCAGAAATGAAACGGCCAAACCCCCTATCCATAAAGGTGCCCTGGAATAGGAAGTCGTGTTCAGACCACTTTGGGCACGTCCTCACTTCTTTTCAGTCTAGTTTGTTTTATAAATTTGACCGATTGATGTTCTTCGTAAGTTTAGACCAGAAGTCAAGTAACAGAAGTTTTGAAGGCACTTCCCTGTAGCGGTTGTAGCACTAATGAAGACTTTGACGCAAGCAAACGCGCAGGTACGCCGCTGCAGAACTCCCTCACAGATGTTTGGGTCGCAGATGGTTATCTCAGGGGTTTTGGGGTCACTGTTTCAAATCCAGTTTGTCAAAATGGTGATTTTACTTTTTGGGAAACCCCTGGCAGTTCCTCAAAGGGTTTCTTGGCAGCCACTTTTTGATAAAGTTTTTGAGGTCTGGACACTTCTTCGCACTGTGGATGCGCATGAGGGCTGGGTGAAGATCCTTAGATCGGGTTCAAAGCATAAGTTGCTAGCATTGAAGTGAACAAAGTGCAGGGTTTGGAGAAAGTTTGGCAGGGGTTCTATAAACTGTTCCTTCACCTGAATTTGAAAGGCCCTTCGGCCCTTCATTTTGGTGTCAAGAGTGACCAAAGATGTTAAGGGCCATGGCCGTGACTTGCCGCTCAGGAGCACAGCGCCTTCGAGAGCCGCTTCAGCCGCCCCATTCTGAAGTCCGCAGACCAAGTTGCAGAATTCTGTGGCAGATCGGTGTGTCTGAGGGATAAAGTGGATGATTTGGAGGGTACCCCCGTTTTAGGAAGCCTCTCTATATATATATACATATACACACATATATGTTTCAGATAGAGCTGTTCTGTTCTGTTCCCTTTCACAAAGTGAGCCGTCAGGGGACAAAAGAGAAAGGCTTCTGCAAAGGATTTGGCAGTGAGAGAGGACTTTTGCAAACACATTCAGTTGAGAGACTGCAGAATTACGTATGTATTTCCTTGACACCGATTCAATCACCACTTATAAGATTGCAAGATTCTTTTTCCGAGGGTTGCACGCTATTGCACATCCAGGACGCATTGAAAGAATTCCAAGAGCTTCTGGCGCGGAACTGCCTCAGAAGGAGATTCACATTGTAAAATATGACATTATGGCTACTAGGCCAAGTGGCAACAAGACGGTACAGCAGCCTGGTGTGACCGTGTGACGTCATGAGTTTGCAGTCATTGCAGTCCGTGTGGCCGCGCAGCACAGGACCAAGGATGACGTCGCATTGATGCTTCCAGGGAAGAACGATCGCGCTCCTTGGATCGATTGCCGCAAAAACCTTGTAGCCTGGTGATCGATCCGATTGACAGCAGACTTATCTTAGACTTGCCCAGGTTGTGCCTTGCCCACTCAGTCATTTGCAGCGAGCTGCCTATCAAAACTTGCTAGACAGCCTGAAGCTCAGATGCATCTGGAGAGTTTGGCACAGTATGTTCTTGGGAGGCAGTTGCTAGAGGCTAGAGCATTAATTTGTTATCTTCTGTTGCTTGAGATTCATGTGACCAAGAAACCAAGAAGGCCCCTAATGGGCAAGAAAAACAAACACATTCAAGATATCATGTTAATTTTCAGCCTGCCACTGCTGTCTAGGTCCAGATTTTCAAATCGCCTTGGGTAAGCGTGAGCCAGTCTCTTAGAGACCTCATTACTGATCATTCAATTCACAACCTGACTTTTCTATTGAACACTGATTCAAACATTAGCCGTTTGCTGCAGAAAGCGGGAATCACAAGCTCAGTAAATCGCATGGAAGGTTCCCTGAAATGTGAGGCTTTGCGTTTGTGGGGCTGGAAGGCCGGGCCGTCCTTCACCATTTAGACCTTTAAAGACACGAAACCCATGAAACAGTAGCAAGGCCGTGCCATTGTGGCTCGGGACCGGTGTGGCGGCACAGGGCTTAGCAGCTTCCGGCGCTTGTCTGTCGACCTTTTGGCCACAGATGTGCTCCAGGTATGTGCATCGTCGTCAAGCAGAAGCAAAGGCCAAGCAAACATCCACCATAAACCTGCTGATTATGATATTTTATGATTCTTTGGAAACGAGCAGGGTTTAAATCAGTAGGTTTGCCAGCTCAGGTTTTGTTTGGCAAATCAATGTTTTAAGTGCATGGGTTGAGTCACATCTGAAAGATCTGCCAAGTTGGGTCCCGATAGGGTCTGGAGGATGAATGGGCCGCTGCAGATGAATGCGCTTGCGATTGTCTCAGAGCTGTGAAAGCATTGAGCTTCCTGCAGGCAAAGACAATGAAATACTATGAACGAGTTTCAGACAAAGTACATGGAGTTGGAACAAGGACCAGGTAACACAGAAGGAAACATCACTTCACAAGAACCACGTTTCCTCCATTCTGTTTTCTGCAATCAGGTCGCGGCCGCGAGTCCCCAAAGTGCATGGCGCTGTCATTGATTGCTTGGCCTCTCAAAATGTCAGTTGAATCAAGTTGAATCTGTTGGATTTCGATGGATTTGGATTTTGATTTGGCCATTGCTGGTAGCAGATTTTCCCATGCCGTTCCCGGGACCTCCAATCCTTGGTGCAAGGTGATTCTGCAGCGCCTTTGCAATCACTTGGAGCAGTTGAAGCCAGATCCGCAGCCACCCAAGGAGTGGAAATTATGATCATTTGAGCACTGTCAAAAACTTCTTGCCATGAAAATCCTGTAACAAATCTTCATGGATTATGATCATCCTTCATATCTTGGGTAGTACATGGTAGTACTACGTGATAGCCCCCAAACCAATCGTCCACCCTGCCAGGATTCAGCGGAGGCAAACCAGCAGGAGCTGCTGTGTTCTACAGCAGCGTCAACGTTGCTGATATTTGCTTCGCGGGATTTACTAAACTTACTACCCACTCTAATGGCGATGATCATCCACGAATTGGGATTTTCAAGAACATTTCAATCATTTCAATCAGTTGGATTTGTTTTACAGCTACAGATCTCCAGGAACTCATGCGAGAGCTCTGTGAGGTTGCCTTCCGGGGAATTGTCAGAAACCAAGAGTCGTTACATGCAATTTCTATATCGATACAGAATGATATAGATACATACTGTATACCAGTAGTACCGCACAAGGCGGTGGCGGAAGTTTCAAAAATAGGAAACCTATAGGAGAGGTTGGTTGTTGTGAATCAGGGATGGCAGAGCGAAGCCACTGCTGGAGCGAAAGGTGATTGATCTCTCTCACTCTTTCTCTCTCTTTCTCTGACTATCTACCCACCTACCAACCTATCTTCTATGTATCTATCTATCTATCGATCTATCTATCTACCTATCTACCTATCTATCTACCTACCTACCTATCTATCTATCTATCTATCTAGCGATCTATCTACCTATCTTTCTATCTATCTATCTATCTAACTATCTAACTATCTATCTATCTATCTATCTATCTCTCTCTCTCTCTTTCATCTGTCTATCTGTCTAGCTGTCTAACTGTCTATCTGTCTATCTATCTATCTTTCGGTCTATCTATCTATCCCTATCTATCTCTCTCTCCTCTCTCTCTCTCTCTCTCTCTCTCTCTCGCTTTCATCTGTCTATCTGTCTGTCTGTCTGTCTGTCTGTCTATCTGTCGACCTGTCTATCTGTGGTGCAGTGTCATTCAGGGTAATGTAGCGTAGTGCAATGTAGTGTTGTGTTGTGGAGTGTAGTGGCATGTAGTGTAGCGTAGTGTAATGTAGTGTAGTGTAGTGTAATTTAGTGTAGTGGAGTGTAGTGGAAGTTAGTGGAATGTAGCGTAATGTACTGTAGTGGAGTGTAGTGTAATGTATTGTAGTGTAGTGTAGTGTAATTTAGTGTAGTGGAGTGTAGTGGAATGTAGTGCAGTGTAGTTGTGTAGTTGTAGTTGTAGTGTTGTGGAGTGTAGTTGTGTAGTTGTAGTTGTAGTGTTGTGGTGTGTAGTGTAGTGTACTGTAGTGAAGTGTAATTTAGTGTAGTGGAGTGTAGTGGAGTGTAGTGGAGTGTAGTGGAGTGTAGTGGAGTGTAGTTGTGTGGTTGTAGTTGTAATTGTAGTGTAGTGTAGTGTCGGCTAATGTAGTGAAGTGTAAGGTGGAAGGTGGCGTGGTGTAGTGTAGCGTAATGTTGTGTAGTGTAGTGGAGCGGAGTGTAGTGTAGTGGAGTGCAGTTGTGTAGTTGTAGTTGTAGTGTTGTGGAGTGTAGTGTTATGAAAAACTTGCAGCCACAGACTGGGCCAGGTCAAAATAGTTTTTTTCATTTTTTATCATTTTGGTTATCATTACATTCATCATTTTTTTATCATTTATTTTATCACCTTCATTTTTTATCATTTCAGGTATCATTCTTTATCATTTTTTTAATCATGTTTTATCATTTTTTATCATTTTTCATCAATTCCACCACTGGAAGCAAAAATGATAAAAAAAAAATATATTAAAAAAATGAAAAAACCCGAGGACAATTGTAATTTTCCATTTTTTGGAAAATTTTTACACCACTGGAAGAAAAAATGATAAAAAAATGAAAAAAAATGAAAAAAACTCGATAAAAATTGCAATTTTCCAAAAAATGAAAAATTGCAATTTTCCTCGTTTTTTTTCATTTTTTTCATGTTGTTTTCATTTTTCTCATTTTTTTATCATGTTTTTACCATTTTTCATCATTTTTTATCATTTTTCATCAATTCCACCACTGGAAGCAAAAATGATTTTTTTTAAAAAATGATTAAAAATGATTTTAAAAAAAAAACTCGAGGAAAATTGCAATTGTTTATTTTGCGGAAAATTTTTGCACCACTGGAAGCAAAAATGATGAAAAATGATTTTAAAAAAATGAAAAAAAATGAAAAAAATGAAGAAAAAAAAAGTGAAAAAAAATGAAAAAAAAAATGAAAAAATTCGAGGAAAATTGCAATTTTTCATTTTTTGGAAAATTGCAATTTTCCTCGTTTTTTTCATTTTTTTTCATTTGTTTATCCTTTTTTTTCATTGTTCATCATTTTTTATCATTTTTCATCAATTCCACCACTGGAAGTAAAAATGATTAAAAAAAAATGAAAAAAAGTCGACGAAAATTGCAATTTTTTATTTTTCGGATAATTTTTGCACCACTGGAAGCAAAAATGATGAAAAATGATTAAAAAATGAAAAAAATGAAAAAAAACTCGAGGAAAATTGCAATTTTTCATTTTTTGGAAAATTGCATGTTTTTCGAGTTTTTTTTCATTTTTTCTTTTTTTTTTTTCATTTTTCTTTTTTTTTATCATTTTTCATTATTTTTTATCATTTTTCATCAATCACCACTGGAAGCAAAAATGATAAAAAAAACATGAAAAAAACTTGAGGAACATTGTAATTTTCCATTTTTTGGAAAATTTTTGCACCACTGGAAGAAAAAATGATGAAAAATGATTTAAAAAAATGATAAAAAATGATTAAAAAAATGATAAAAAAATGATACCTGAAATGATAAAAAAAATGAAGATGATAAAATAAATGATAAAAAAATGATGAATGCAATGATAACCAAAAAGATTTAAAAAAAATGAAAACAAAAATATTTTAAAGATTTCCAATGTGTAGCTGGCTCGGTTCTTCATAAGTGTAGTGTAGTGTAATGTAGTGAAGTGTAGTGGGAGTAGTGTAGTGTAATGTAGTGTAGTGGAGTGTAGTTTGTGGCGTGTTGTGACCCTAGAAGTCTCCAGGAGTGTGAGTCGGACTCCTCTTCGTCAGATTCGTCTGAGAC